TAACATTAAAGAGGTGATATTTAATTCAACATCAGCTGGAAGAGAAAGAGCATGCTGAAAGGAGAAAAAAGGGGAGATAAGCCAACAGTTTTTCACTCCTAATCCAGCTGAAATCAGGTTATTTCTTTGTGATTGTGAAACTGTCAGTGGCACACAGAAGATCGTATAAAGGACAGTCTTGACAGATTCCTCTCTTTTGCATATGAAAGGGAAACATGGAAACACAAGGCTCCAGTTAATAGGTGCTCCTGATGAAACACGGAAAAAACCAGAAGCATTTCTTTTTGGTGTCTCTGATAACAATTTAAACGTGGAAATGTAAAAATCTTTCAGTCTGTCCAACCTAACGGCAGGAGAGCTACGCAGTTTACATTGATGTATTTATTGCCAGGGTGCAATCTGCCAACAAAGAACGCGCTCCCAACACAGTCTTTCAGTGAGGTATGTTAACAGCCTGCTGGGAGACACAGAAATAAAACTTGTATTATCTCTTGGGTAAGTGTTGCTCTCTCTTTTGGAGCAGTATTGACAACAACCAACACTTCAAGGCAATCTGCCACTGCCCAGTGCTAATTCAGAACTTGCGCTCTCTTGTATGCAACAAAATCTACTGAATTCCTTTATCTAAAGGAATTCAGTAGACTCTGAATTCCTGAATTCCTCTATCTAGTTCCTTTATCTAATTCCATTTAGAATATCTAAAATTCTATTCTAAAGAATTCTTTGGGCTTTGTCTACAGAAACAACTACCATTGCCTATACAGTCACTAGTCTATCCCTTATCCTATTTCTTTCAGGATTTACTGCATAGTTTATCCTTTTGATAAGGATAACTTATCTCTGTATCCTCTTTGATAAAAGAGGCCCCAGTAAGCTGAATTTTTTTTCCTCAGATATTACTACACTAGGAGTGGAATTTACCTCGCTGAACTTTATTCACCTGAAGTGCACATACTTACCTCTGTACAAATTATCTAAATTCCCTTTACAGTCAAGAGTAGGCTGCATTTCAGCTGGCATATTTTAATGTCTATATTAAGATGAAATGAACTATACCCTTCGTCCACTGCCTATGATGGGAGACTAAATGCCTAACAGATACACTGAGGATGTGATGAGGCAAATTCTGTCCTTTTTAGGCGCATATTTATATTCTAATTGAACTATAAGCCTAACAGTTCAGGGCAGGGATTATTATGTAACCAATTTTATAGCTATTTTATATTAACACCATGAATACATTACACGTTATGTAATGTTTGGTCTAAGTATTTATTACGTTCTTGCATGAGAACTCACTTAGCTCAGTAATACCTCAAAAAATCTGAACTTAACCAACCTCGAATAGAAAGGACACGAGGCTCCTGCAGAAGCTGAATGGCCTTTATCCTCTCAAACAGCTCTCCACACACTCAGGCTCAGCAAGGGAGAGCACTTGAGAGACTAGATGTAGGCAAGGTTATGGTTCTCAGATGGATATGATCTTATTAAATGCTGTTTGTTTGTTGAATATTCCCCAGCACTCTCCCTCATTACCACAGTATCTGAGCATTGACCACACTAAATCAAATTTCTTCTTTCAATACCTAATGGAGTGCCACTTCCCTAATGGGATTTTAAGATTCAAAGAAATTAACTAATTTTTTCAGATGTCAAAAAAACACTAACGTAGTGGTGCAGAAATGGTAACAAACCCAGACTTCAGGGCCTCTTGTCTAGTGACTGTTAACAAAGTGGTTTCTCTCCAATCCCCAGCTGATGGTCTCAGTACGGATGAGTTACTGTGTGACCTACTCAGGGACTGCCCACTGTTCCAAGTCAGCAGAAAGATTAACAGACTACTGATTTTATTAGGCAGCTGTAAGAGGGGGCTATTTTAATGCTCTTACATCTTCACTCAAACTCATGACATGTACCAAAACATACATAGTAGAAAGTTTAAAAAAAAAAAAAAAAGTTTTGCTTTATACATATGTTATGCAATGGAAACATATCAGAGGCCAATTTTGTTTAAGATGACAAGTTTCCATTTTTGGATTATTTCAGAATATTACAATACTAAATACAAAGGAATCTAATGTACGGTTCTATGGGATGCATTATGTTTCCAAGTACACAAATAACTGAACCTACCAAGGAAGCATAGCATATTTTGTGATTTAACATAGAGCAAAACTTAGCTTTCGGGGGGGGGGGG